AGGATATACCTAACAGAAGTCTACTGTAAGACAATGCTTTTGAAGTTTCCTGCCCAAGGCTTAAATTTAAAAGTCTTATCCTAATTCTCAGCATCTGTACATCTGCAAGCATGACCAAAGTCCCGCTATGTGTAGAGCTGGAACCTTGTCTATATACCAAGGTGCTTTCATATAAACAGGCCCAGAGGTACGAACGAACATAAAGGGCTCAGCTAGGTAAGGGTTTTTTTACCTGGGAGAAACATTTGGTCTTAAATGTGCATTCTCTACTGCACATTCTTATGTTCATTCACTGTTTGTTCTTAGTCTAAAACCTAATTCTTTAAATGTTCACACCAATTAAAAAGTGGAAGGAACACATTAAGGACCTTTCACTGGAAACACCAACAGCCCCGTTGCACAGCAGTTTTCCAGTGTGTTTACCGATAGTGGGTGAGATCTTGAAGTAGAAGGTAGAAGAGAAGATCATAAGGCAGGGTAGAAGGATGATGGAGACAAATCCACAATTGCACCTCTTACTCCATCTGTCCTTCACTGATTCCCTACAATAGTCCTTGGCAGACCGGAAGGGGGAAGAGGAGAAAGGGAGAAGATACCAAGTTTTAGGTCACGTCCATGCTACTGCTAGATTTATTAGAACAGAGCCTAGTTGATTTGGTAAAAGGAAAAGAGCTAGGAATGACTCATCTTTTTGGAAATTAAAATACGCCAGAAAGTACCATTTCCAGAGTATTTTTTTATTTAAAAACACTAGTTTAATAGAGTGCTTTTTGGATGATGGTCCTCACTGAATTAGACTGTTACACTGATCGGAATATTAATGACCAATACATGGCAAGTGAGTAAAGACATACCTTCCCATCTTTAAAAACAGTGGTGTCAGAAAGCAAATCCTATCGCTTCCTACCAAAATATCAATTCCAAGAGTTCCCTATTTTGCGTAATCTATGCCTGACCCACATATCCTTTGACAGCTCCTATGACAAGGATCTGAATGTTCTAAACACATTGTTTTGCAGGTTCTTTCCTAAAATACATAGCACAAAACACTATGCAGTAGCTGCCAGCACAGTATTCAAAATAAACTCTGTATTTCCCCACAAACATCAGCCAAATAGTGGCTTACCTTCAGGAGATCTTGAGACTAGCTTAGGTCATAACTGAAGATGCTTTGTACCTACAGCCATCAGAGCAACCAACTTGTGGAAGAGGGAAAATGTCAAGTTAAATCCTGTATTTGCAAAACTGAAATTGTCAAAGATAACAGATGTATCTTCTAGGGTTTATTTGTAGAGTGGTTTTGGGATTTTTATCCTAATACCTTAAATCAGAAGTTTTGGGAGGCTATTGACACCAAGTTGAGAAGCATTCGAACTGTACGCTTTGATTCTCTACAGGACACTCTGAAAGCTTTAAGAGGAAAAGCCAGTGTTCACTTTGTGCCTTAGCAACTGTCATAGAGCAACGCCAAGATTGTGCCTTTGCTAAGGAGGAAGCCATAGAAAGTTTTCTGTATGATCGTACTTACAGTCTTCCAGCATACTTCAGCTTCACGCCCTGTAAGAGAGGTAGCCTAGGAAAGCAGATGAAGATGTTCAGCATATTGTTAGATACTGCCAGCTTTGCAATGAATCAAAGGGATACAGAATGCATACTTGCATTTCAGCGAGCAACTGCTGCTTCATAGCTGGATTGACACTTGTCACTACACCAGAATTTGAGATGCCAGGTGATGTTCCAGTATTCTAGAATGTACACTTCCATCAACCAAAAGCTGTTAATTCCCAGAAATCCCCTTGCTAGTCATTTTTCCAAGCTTGAATTCCCACCATCTTCCAGTAGGGGCAAGCCAGGGAACCCTTTTCTGCCTAACAGTTTTATAGATTTTTAGAAAGGGAGGAGATGCCAGGTGCACATAACAGTAGTAAAAACTTACAGAGGAATTCACTAAACGTTGAAGATCAGATATGGCTGAAGCAAGCTGCTGCCCATCTTCTGCAATGCTAGGCATCCTTATCTGTCTTTTGAAGGAATACACCCAGAACACTACCAAGATCTGAAGTGGTCATAAAGTTGTATGTGGACACAGAACAAAGTCCTCTGCCTGCTCCATACAGGGCAGGAGAAACTCACTTGCTTCCTTGCAGCTGTTCATGTTTTGGATATAAACTGTGTCAATCTCTTCTCCTTTAATATATCATCTCCTATTAATGCTGCTGAGTTACCATGAAAGCATAAGAGCCACGTCCAATTTGTTTCCCCTACTGAGGAATACTCCCCGCTTTGTCAGATTTGCAGTCTAAGCGCCAACTCTACCTTTATGCTTTGCAACTAGAATGGTGGTGCCACTGTCTAGTGAGCTACCTTTTTCATGCTGTCTTCTTTCAGGTGTTTAAGCCCATCCCATAGTTTTCTAAGCAAATCCTTGTCCTAGACCTCACTTTGAACAAAAAGGACAAGTAGTACCTGTAGGAGGCTTTTGGTTTAGGCACCGTGTAAGCCGTATCTCCTTGATGGATGCTGTAGTCTCTTGAAGGTGGTTAGGTAGTTCTGTATACAGTCCAGGGGAGAAGATAAGCAGGAACAGCTCTAAGGCTCTTGATTCTGGCCCAGAATTTCTCATGACATGGCCCTGAATAAGCAAGCCAGTTCAGTCTGGAGAGAAATCGGAGCTGGACCCTCATGCTGGCCAGGCTCATCCAACAAAGTTAAGTTATTTCAGTGAGGGCTTGAAATCTGTAAGATCAGAAGAGATGCACTGCCTGGGGAGAGGGTGGAGGTGGAAAAAAGCAGGAGCTCTTTAGAACCAAGTATTTGCATCAGAAAAGCAGTACGGACATTAAAATATTCTACTTCAATTTATGCAAGTGATCTGGATTCTTCTAGGGCTCGGCAGAGGCTGGCACTACTGGCAGTAGAAACTGAACTTCTCAGGCCTTTGGAATAACTTCCCAATACAGTCAGCCATACACGAGTTATCCCCCCATGAACATTACATTTGCTTGCTTACTTCGAAACACATTGGAAAACTTCCTGTTATTCTAAGAAAGTCTGAGAGTGTTAGTTCATATTTTTTAGCTGCTTACACTTGCTACAGACCCCTGCATTTACCCACTGGTTTAGCATTAAGGCATTTGTTTCCATTATTCTCTCCAGACTACTCCGTGATGCAGCATTTTCCTCTTCCTGTTAAGACCAATACAGAAAAAATGAATTCTCTTATATAACAATTTTCACCCCTCCCTCAAAGCCAGGATTAGGTGTCCTAAACATTTGTCTTATACACAAGTATAGTAGACATCCTACCCAGAATACTGAATTTTAAGCCACTTCAAACAGTAGTCAGTCTAGAACTGCATTTATGTTATAAGTTACTATTGCTTGATCATAATGCCATGTACACCATGACCTCTTGAAAGGGAATGAGCTTAAAGTCATAGCAAGAGCTATTTTATAGAATTGGCATGCATTTCAGGTTTAAATCAGTACTGTACTGACATTCAAGAATTTCAGTCCCCATACAGACTGAGATGAACAGCACTTTTATTTATTTCAGTTACAAGACGACAAGTAAACCTTACAACCAGAAAGGCAATGAAGGCCTCATGAGCTTAGTGATAACCATTTCATAATCCAGGCAACATGTTATGATTTCTTGAGATCACAAAGAAAGCATACCCCCCTCTTAAACAACTTTTCCTTATTTCTGTAAGGAAATTTCCTGTAAGAACAGCACACTGATGTTAACAGAATCAAGAGGGACCACCGATGTACAAAGCGTACATTCACCATCCCACCCCCCCTCAAAAGGCTTAAGTGTAGACTTTATTCCAAAAAAGATAACAGAGTCATGATCACAGCTAGAAGAGAGGGAAAAATTAAAGTCTGTTTTCAAATAAAGTCAAATTATGATGCATTAATGAAGTTAAATGAAGATACTTTCTCACACAGCAGTGTACTTCAGGGGTAAAGAAACTCTACTCATTTTAAGCCAATGTTTATCTGACTTTTGTAGTAGGGAGAAAACAGCTTACATAAAAACCGATCCCCCTACCAAGCACTCTCGGTAAGAACTATGACGTAAGGGAAGTGCTAGAAACCTGTGGGAGAACAAGTGCAGGCCCCCCTTGACTTCAATGCATTTACTTACTTAAGTACAATAGAAAAGACTGAATTCAGGAGTGGTTGACAGTGGGATACAGTGCTACAGGTTGAACATTAGCCACTAAAGGACAAACCCAAGCATGCATGTATCCCACCACAAGGGAAAGATACACTTGAGCTTCCTAACCTGCTCATTTCTACAGTTTGCTCTAGTATTATCATCTCCTCCCTCATTACCAACCTAATTCCTGCACTCGTTTGAAGGGACCCCTTTAAAAATCTCCAAAATTCTGGATTATTTGGCAAAAAACAAAAAATCACTTGCTATTTTAAAGAACACAGAGCTGGAAAAAGAAAGGGAAAAAAAGTTTACAACTCATCTCTTCAGTTGCTCTTCTAAGCAGTATTGGACCTAGAAAACACGAGGAAGTACCAGATCAAGTACTGTTCCATCATCCTTCGCTGTTGAAACAATACAGTTGAGGCAGACCATAACTTCTTCAGTCAGTCGCTAGCAGGTCAGTTTTGGTGCATAAGATATTAATCAACTGAAAAATGTATTTTCACCCGTGCTATATGTCAGTTCTCAGTTTCCCCTGACCTAAGTGGTCAGGGATACGTTTATTATGCAGTACTCACAGTAAGTCTCGGAATTTCAGGCAGACCTATTCATTCCCAAGGAGTATCCTTTTGGCTCAGTGAAGACTTTTGAGTACCTTAGCTTACATTCATTCTGGAGGCAGCCACCATGATTCCATTTACCCAAAGTACTATTTTTAGTGGGGCTGTTACCATCTTGAAATTGCAGTTTAAAGTTAACCAGTAATACAAAAGAGTACTTTTCAGTGTTTCCAGTGAAGGAGCTGAGAAAAAAAAAATCTGTAAGAAACCATTGCTGCAATTTTATTTTAACAAAAGGGCAGATTTATTCATGTTTACAAACAAGTTTCAAAAACAAAAAGGAGAACATGTATGCTACCCACTAACATCCTTTCAAAATGCCAACAGCCCTCATGCTGCATGAAGGATTCTATAGATTAGAAAAAAATCACAGTTCCACTCACAGTTCACCAAGACAGCACTAAACATGTTTAGACAAAAACAAAGGACTAAGATTCTGATGTATTTTGATTTAATCCATTTTGCCTGAGATAACAGAAATGTTTCAAGCAAGTTCCATCACATATTGATGTCCTGCATTAAACAATCCTACTAAGTTCTGAACAAAATTTATTCAGTAAGTTTCTCAAAATTTTTAAAAATTAAACAGTTGTTTCAAAACCATTAAGTAGTAAATGTATTTAAGAAACTAATTAGGACAGAGGCCATAACTTCATTAGAACACCACTGCTCATGTTTTTACAAAGCATTAGTGTTATCTATTTGGCTATTAGTATTAGCAATTTATCTACAATATTTAACAAGGTAAATTGCAGGCAAAATTTAGTACAGTTTCAATAGAAACACCCTTTTCCTGAAAATACAGCAGTATTTGAAGGACTAGTTTTTTTTTTTTGTGGTTTTTTTTTGTTTGTTTGGTTTTTTTTTCTCTGCATCATTTATAAGGAAGCTTCCCATCTATGAACAGGAACAAAAAAAGTATCTACAAACCTTGTAAACAGATCTGTATCATTTATAAACATAAATAATCCAAATTATTAACAGCCAACAGCAGAAATTAAAGTATCAATTCAACAATCCAGGGCCTCCTTGCCCTTCCCAGCCTTCCCCTCAGAAAAGGATCATGATAAACTAAAGCTCTGCTAACACACTGTTCGGGACCATTCTTAAGTACAACAGATGATCCACAGGTCACTTATGCTGAGTTACTGTTTATCTGTCAGAGTTCATTATTACTCCCACCCCCCGAAAAGCACCCTCCAGTCTGGCAGAAAGCTTTTTTTTTAAAAAAATAAATCTACATTCGTACAAGTGTGTCTTCTGTTGAAGTCCAAGACAAGAATATCATCTTGTCCATCATAATGTGTGAAGAGACCCAGTTTCAATTTCTTTACAATGCAGCTAGTGTGTTAACATTCAGCTTACAATCAGAGTGATGTTTCCAAACTATGTAGCGGGCTCCCTGGGGATGAAGAGGTAGCAGACTTGTTCATGTCTGTTGTAAGGTGAATTCCACTGTCAACCGCATTGTTATTTTTATTGGGAGAGGGTGGGGGATTAGAGTTGCGTTTTGTTGGAGCATCATCTTCAGCATCAGTATCATCAATAAGGGGAATATGAGGCTCGGAGTCTTCTATTCTAAACTCAGGATGCGTCATAAAATTGTGAATTGAACTTCGTGTCTCAGGTTTCTCTAGCCCCTCGTACAAGGAGCTACGAAATGCATTCACCACTCGGATCTGTAAACAAAGAAAAAAGGTTGTTAAAATGCTGCAGATTTACTGGTAATGGCATGGTTCTTATGAGTTTGAATCCACAAACAGCTAGACATGAGTGAATTGAATTTGTATGTGATGCAGTGGAACTTGCAATAAACTGTAAAAAATGAAGAGCATTTCAGTAGAGCACTGCCAGTCTACACAGTAGGAATAAAAATTGTAAAAGTACTGCAAAAAGCTGAAGGGCCTAAAAATTCAGACATGGCACTAGAATTGTTCAATTATTTAACATGGGCTAAGCATTTTTCAGAAGTGAGGCCAACAGTTATTTACTTATTCACAAATTAAATAAATCTCAATGAGTGTTTCATTGAATACTTGGGGGAGGTGGGGGAAGGAGGGGAGAGGCTGAAAATAAGTTAGAGGATAAAAGGGTTACTAATTATCATGCTAGGAATTAGGATGTCAACTGACTATGAAAAAGCCAAGCAAGTGTAAGCCAATGTCACAATGACCGGACATTTACGAAGAGTCATGCAAAAAAGGATACCACTGTAACAGCTGTAAATATTCGAGTATATACCCAGTTACCACACTAGAGAAAGTTCCTTACTGAATAGTGTTTTGGAAACTTAAGACCAGAACGAGGAAATTGAATGCTGTATTGTACAAGTAAGTAGCTATGACAGGTTGTAACTTTGAAGAGATTATTCAAGTAGCACAAAGTATGAGAAAAGCAGGTGATCAGCCTTTGCTTGAGTCTTCAATTTACATTGAATTCATGGACAAAATTCCCAGGCTGAGTATTCTTTCAAGTCCTTTCATTGTTTAACTAACATTTTTCAAATCAGAAAGCTAAGTTTACAGAATTCATAAATAAACATTTCAGAGTGAAATTAGATAGAATAAAGTACAGCTTCATTTTGCAAATTGTGTATGTCCAGGTTGACTTGGATTTAAGCTTTCCAAATTGTAATTCGAATGATGAAACCACCTGCCCACACCCCCCTTCTCCTCCCATGCCCCACACGTTTTCCTCATCAACTACAGGAATTCAGGATTCATTCTTGAACTGATAAAACAAATAAGGTTAGGCAGAAGTCAGTGACCCCTTTGTCCAACACTTTCATCAAGATACAGTTTCCCCCTTCTGTTAGCTCCCTATTCGATTCTCAACATCTCTACTCTGAGTAAGTCTCCAGCAAAGCACAGTTTCAGTCCCAAAGCTCCTGTGTTGTACAGTAAGCAGCAGAGCAACTGTAGGAAACAAGAACTTACTGTTACAAACAGTAAGTCCAATTTAAAGATTTTTTTTTTTAGCATATTCAAGATGACTTGTTTCAAGCTGAGAAATAGGTCATGACTAGTGCTTCCATAGAGTTCCTTGATATTAAAAATAAAGTGACTTCCAGGTGAAGGAATGAAGCTGGAAGGTCAAACGGATCAAAAGCACAGACTTCAAAACAGCTAAGATACACCAAACAACCTCACTGTAAACACAGAGAAGGGCTCCCCAAAAGCAATTCATTATCAAATTTGTTACCACAGAATCACTGCACATGATAAAGTCTTAGGTCCTAACTCTGTTCTTTGACCTCTAGAGATAGCATTGTTACCCCACCCCTACCCCCTCAGAGCACTTGCGCAAAGAATTTTGCTCAAAATCTATCATGTCCCCATTTTTATACTACAGGTACACGGCTGAGCCCCATTAGCCATGGAAACTATTGGGGGTGGGGGGGGTGGGGGGGTGGCGGGGGGGGGGGGGGGTGGGGGGGGGGGGGGGGAAGGGAAGGGAAGCTGCACATGATAAAGTCTTAGGTCCTAACTCTGTTCTTTGACCTCTAGAGATAGCATTGTTACCCCACCCCTACCCCCTCAGAGCACTTGCGCAAAGAATTTTACTCAAAATCTATCATGTCCCCATTTTTATACTACAGGTACACGGCTGAGCCCCATTAGCCATGGAAACTATTGGGGGTGGGGTTGGGTGGGGGGTGGCGGCAGGCACACAGGCAAAGGGGAGGACATAACTACCAATAAAGGGAGTACAGGGAATAGCGTGAATGTGCTTGAGAAGTAAAAAGATTACAACAGCAGCCAGTACTTTACTGTTCATCACATGAAAAAATTGAGCACGCTGTTAAGGAGTTGACACGCTACACGAGCTTTAAACAAGTCCAGCAAGCTGCATAAACTGTCTTGGCGCTTACCAAGAAAAATCAGCGGTGACAATGCCAGACTGAAAGTTTGCAATGCCTTTATTTGGCATGTTGCATCCCACTGTGCCACTGATTTATGTGGCAAAATGAAATACGACTGCCTCGTGGGACTGGTTTTTCATTGCTTACAGATGGTAAGTTAGAACATAAGCAGTAATGGAAAACAATTTTTTGGCGTAACAGGACAGCTGTAATTATCATCAGAATATAAGCATACCCACAATAAAGGCTTGATTCCCATGCAGAATGCATACTAAACAAGTGGTCTAGACACTCCTATGAACCCAGGACCCTCAAAGAGTCCAGCCATGAAGGCAGAAATCAGACTATCAGCATTTTAAGTTACACTTAAAAAGGGAAAATCTAGTGTTTTGAAGGCTTTATTTTCAACTACTCCAGATAATTAGATGAGAGAGGTTAACTATAAATAAATTGCATAAGTGAGGAGCAAACAAGACAATTTGTTATGTGTAATTTATACTGTCATCAGGTCTTCCCCATATTAGTACCAGAATAGCAAGGAATGCAGTAAGCACTCCAAATCCTCCTAGCCAGATGGCTGCTTAAGAGTTGCAACCTCACTTCATAGGAACAGCTGAACTATTTTCTAACAAACAGCTCCGAAAGAGAGACACAATGAAATAACACATCTGCTTCCCATTAATACATATTAGTTATCAAAAGTTGTTCTGCTGGGGGGGTCTAGCAGAGGGCTGTACTACTTAGTGAGGATCAAAAAGTTCTCTGCTATTGTAGCTCCATATCTGCATTGGTCATTTGATGCGATGAGATGCTGCAGTGCCCATTAGATTCTGCTCAAATGGCAGCACGGCATGAAGTTGCTTTCTAGAGAATTCCGAATGTCTAATTAATGTTCTTGAGTGTAGTTAGGGATACAGGTTACTAATTAGCATTTTAACTAGGAGATGCAATCCTGTACATGCTTACTGTTAAATCTACTTTTCATTTTGTGTTCTTGAGGCATGCGAATTTGTGAGCTGAGCTTCTTGATACTACTGCAAGGCAGGGAAATACCTGTCTCACCAATGGAGAACAGAGCAAGTACAGAGGTAAATACTTGTGCAAGCTCACACAGGAATTCTGGCCAAGCCCCGTGTTAAATCTACTTTTCATTTTGTGTTCTTGAGGCATGCGAATTTGTGAGCTGAGCTTCTTGATACTACTGCAAGGCAGGGAAATACCTGTCTCACCAATGGAGAACAGAGCAAAGTAAAGAGTAAATACTTGTGCAAGCTCACACAGGAATTCTGGCAAAGCCCCGCCCCCCCCCCCCCAAAAAAAAAAAATCAGAAGAGAACATTTCATTTAAGATAAGACCTGAAATTAAGGGTCTTCATCCATCTGGTAATCTGACAGTTT